GGCGCTTCTGCTGAGCCCTGAAGAAGCACCAATCAGCTGGAAAGCAGCACTGATCCTGGCACTTCTGCTGAGCCCAGAAGAAGCACTGATCAGCTGGAATGTTGCAGCATCTCCAGGGTCTTCTGATTTACATTCAGATGCTTGGCAACTGATTCATATTTATGACGGTCACAGTGTCCCAGGATCATGTGAAGTGACCAAAACCTGCTGCAACCACCCAGCAGATGGGGAGAATAAAAACCAAACACCCATCACCACCCACGCTGCCAATTCTCAACAGAAATGCTCACAACAATGAAAACCTCGGACAGGAGGAAGAGCGCCGCCGGGTGGGCAGGTAGGTGTCTTGCTCGGCTGTGGCTTGGGAGGCACTTTTTTCAGTGCCATTGTAACTTCGAACAGTCACTAAGTGAACTGTTGTAAGTTGAGGACTACCTGTACTTTATCACTTTTTTTCTTTTTCTTTTTTTTTTTTGGTCATCAAATTTTTGACACCTTGGTAGGCGACTGGTGGTACTCGGATGTTGCCATATCCTAAAAGTGGTACAATGGGTGAAAAGGTTGAAAAGCCCTGCTCTAGACATATAGGTTTGGTTGTTCACACCTGACAGATGATCTTGAAAGAGTAATTGATTTCAAATGGCATTATAGAGGTACAGGAAGGCTCATGCAATTTTAGGCAGCATCAACAGAATAGAATTTCCATATTACAAGAAATAATTGCTCCTCTTTACTCTGGGGATTGAAAATGAAATCCTAGGAAGGAAAGCTGAAAAATGAGGCATGTTTAGCCTTGATGAGGGTGGGGAACTGATGGGGGCAAGATAGCCCTGGAATTGTTACTGTGTAACAGGAAGACCTCCTGCAGCCATTCAATCAGTTCTAAGTTTGAGTCGCAGCTTCGACAGAAAATGTTGCCCATTCACCATGGAATGAAACATCTATTGCAACACAAACCCCACTTTTTACGGCCTGCTGCACAAGTACAAAAAGGTACAACTGGCATGATGACATTACAGCAAAGATATTATCATTGTGATTAAGTTGGATGCTTCTGTCTATGGTACTAAAATCATATGAAAATTGTAATATCAGATGGCAATACTGACCAGGACTGCTTCTATCATTTCAGAGATAAGAATTATCTACAATTTTCACCTCCAAGTTTTCATGGATTTTGACTGTAAAAGAATTTCAATTCCTTCTGCATGCTTCTTTCTTAGAAACATACCCTCTGTATATAATACAGAATGCAAGGCATACTGTATCCATATGCATTTCCATTTTAGGTACATATATGCAACAAGGACCATACAACAAGCATATGCACATCTCTCTCTCTCTCTNCACACACACACACACACACACACGCACATGACTTCAAACATATTTTCCAGAGGCAACAGAAGCCAGAAGCTGCAAACTACTGTAGTCAGGGATCTCAGCAGATAATTTTTCTGATAGTTTTTGTATCAACTTGGAAAAGTTACTAAATGGAGCTTTAATAGATTGCATTTCCTGTAAAAACCAGGATTATCTCCTAGAGAGCAAAATAGCTGATAAATTGTGAATTATGGAAAGAAAGAAAAACAGTCTAGAAGGCAGAATTTGATCCTTTGAACAATCTGGAATGCTTCTTCAAACATTTGCTGCATTTCTTGTCTGATTTTCAGTCTACTGACTGGAATGGCAAGTAGTAATATTAGTGGCAGACAGTGATGCCGGAAACAGAGGATAGTGAGTAGATTCCGACAGTGTGTAGATCCCCACAGATGTTTGACTCTGTCAGTTTTTGCATTTGAGCTTGAATGGAGATCTGTTTGCTTTCACTTCAAAGGAAAAAAAATCAGGAGATTCTTTCAAAAATATAATCGTACTTTCTCTCTCCATATGAAAGATTAAAAAACACCTGGTCATGTTAGTATCTGTAGAGTGATGTGCAGTCAATGTGCAACAAGAAATTCAGTCTTCATCATCTTTAAGAATGATTTTGCTTTGACTTATTTTATTTGAGTATTTTATAATAAAAATAATTTTTAGCAGGTCTTCAAACAAAGTCGATCTAAAGCAATGGCATTGTTGCCTATTCAGTGTCTCCCAGATGATAATTAAAAAACCTCCCACCCTTCATATGCATATAGACAAGTAAAAGTTTGATGGGTGATGCTCTGACTACCTGCCTATTTAGAGAAACCCTGCTAAAGGACTTTGGATACAAACTACTCATTCCTCGTTGACCAAAGGGGGAGATTTGCTTATTAACTGGGGAGCCTTCTGACCAGAATAATGATATAGAACAGGGATGGGTTGAATATTCTCCAACTTCCCTTGTATAAACATTGCTTCAGCATTTCAGCAGGGAGATGAATCCCAGAGTGTGTAAACTTGCCTCAGAGGAGCTGATGTTTTTAGCATGTGGGGCACATGTTTGTAAATGGAGACGCGTGGAAATAAGTCCTATTAATTTCAGTAGGGCTTGAATGAAGTTTCTTTGGAATACGCCAAAGTGTTTGCAATTCAGATGGCCATTTGGGGTTCATCTCCTGTGACGATGACATAATGTTTTTCTTTACTAATACTTGGTGCTAAGAGAGGGGGGGGGGGAACTGCAAGATCCACGACAGAAGGAAAATTGGTGCAAAACAATTAAAGTTTTAAAAAAAGAAATACACAAACAGCTCCTCCCTGCGCTGAAACAAAATCACAAGAATCCCACAATCAGCTACAAAAGTTTGCAGATGAAAGCAGACTGACTTCTTGAAAACTATTATTATCTGATCTATAACTCATTTGCAAGGTACATACATCCCACTGGATTTTGAGTAAACCAATGCCACCAGTTCATACTTCATACTAAGCCGTAGAAGATTCAATCATAAATCATATATTACAGTTTAGCCCAGAGTGTACTAGCCAGTGTCTATCAAGAATTCTTGGTCTTATATACTCATGGATGTCATAGTAAGCAGATTGTGCTCAGTCAGGTTTCATCTATCTTCCTCACCCACCCCTCCTGCAGGCAACTAATGTATCCGAAAGTTATTTTAGCATCTGCTCTTTTCATATCTATTTCTCTTTTTTCATGCCTTGTTCTCTCTATTTAAATCCAGTGTGTCTAGAACATTTATCATGTTTAAGTTTCTTTCCAGATTCTGATGCTATTAAATCCCTTCTTTTTCCCCCTTGAATCAAGATATATCTACTAATTATATTACTGTTTCCTCTTTCTATTCTGTATTAGAAACAGCAGCTTTCCATTAATTAGGAGTAAATATTTTTCATTTCATTTTACTCCCTTTTCTGTTGGTAATAAAATACTAATTTTGGATTCCTTGGTCCTACCATTAAAACAAAGGCTGCAAGGGGAAAATGTTGTACCAGCTACAGACTGGTTATTGACTGTTGGAGCTTCTGGAGTTGGTATGGCTGGTATTTGCTTCATTTAGCTTTCAGTTGTTTGTGTATCTAGGTCTGTGCCCACTTTCCCAGTCTCCAATCACCAGCTACCCATAACACAAAGCCAACCCATAGCACAAAGCCAATTCCTTTACGTTAGGAGAATGGGTATAAGTAGGATGTCTTTGAACTTCTCTAGGGTAAAAATCCTGTTTTACAATGACTATATGAGATACTGTAAACATTATGATAGATTCCTGAGTTATTAAGAATAATGATTATGATTAAACTAAGGCTAATTTAGTTTAGATCTAAACTCAGATTAAACTAAATTCATGTGCAATATCATGTCCATGTTTCTATATTTATTAGATAAAGCTAATTCTTGGAGCAAGGGCAAAAGCCATCAACTGGCAAGGAAAGAAAACACTGCAGCACCCAGCTACTGGCCAATGTATGCAGTAAAATAAAACAGTAACTGAAGGTAACCCAAAACTCAGGATGGTGGAGGAAGAAAACCAGCATTTCTCATGAATCTAGGGACAGAATGCAGATGCTTCTGGCTACTTTGGAGCTTGGAGAGTCTCTATTCTCTCTCTTCTGGAATGAAATACAGTTGAGGAATATTTGAAGATGAAACATAGACAGAGATGAAAGAGATAAGAGCTTCTGTCATATTTCCTTTAAAACAAAAACATTGAGAACACATTCCTAAATGAATCCTTTCCAATTGCTTGCCAACTTCCTTGATTGCTTCCTCATCTTGCCTTTTTAAGTTGTATCGCAGCTTGTGTGACTATTTGAGAAATAAGATGTGTTTATACAGCAGTCTCTCAACTCCCTATCTCTCCTCATTTTTTTTTTCCATTTCATCCAGCTGTTTCAAACTTCTCAGATTTTTCTGCTCTGGGTTAAGTCAAACTAATTTTCTATCTGCATAATGGAAGTCATAATGATTTGCTTTATAGATATATTGGAAGGATAACAGAAAATAGGACTTGCAAAAATATATTGAAAGACAAAGCAGTTAATAACTGTGTCCTAAAACATGGTAGCTCTGATTTAACTATTATTTTAGCAAAGGCTGAAAAATATACTTTCAGATGTATACATGCAAGATTTCAAATGTATGGCGAGCAAACTGACTCTCAGACCAGTTCCATTATTCATTTGGCGTATTTACGGTAGCTCCTTGTTTCAGTGGCATCATTAAAAAAGGCCTTGATGTCCCAAAGTGCAGTCTCCTGGGATCAGATCCTTGGTTCACTCAGAATAGCAGTCAGCCTCTGGTGGACCTAATAGTGGAAGTTTCAGAGGGAGCAGCAGGCTCTCACTGTGTGTGTGTGTGATCAGTTTATCCCATGTAGTGTTGATAGCAGGTCCAGTTCCTGAGAACCAAGAAAAGTGACTCGTTGCAGCTCCTAGCCCATGCCAATTTTTGACTTACTGACAAAATGAAGAATGGATTGGGGGGGGGGGGAATGTCCCAAAGCTGTTTTCCTTTTCCTTTTCCTTTTCCTTTTCCATAGGATCTTTAATTCCAGTTGCATCCGTGCAAAAGATAGATCCCAGCAAATCCATTTTTTCCCCTTAAAATTCAAAACCTAATTTTCATCCAGGGCTTCTTCAATGGTCTCCCCATTTGCAATTTCTTCTTTGCTGCTGTCAGAAGCGTTTGGTCTGAGGTTGTGTCTTGCTGCGGGGCCTCGCTCCACATTGCAGCAAGTTCTCACCGTGGCTGCTTGCTTCTTGGCAGGCTGCATCACCTCAGCGGAAAGACCGTTATTGCTCAAATGCTGTTTATTTGGACATTTTCTTAAGCGCTTGATGTTCTTTCCAAGAAAGCAGGGCATATAGACAAAGGGGTCCGCTAGCAAGAAACGAGACCACTGCTTGCGTAATTCAGCCTTTACCTGGGAGGGAAAAAAAGGAGAAAAGATGATGGGATTACAGCAGCCTTTTCCCACTGTGTATCTTCTAAATAAGAGCTATGGTGGTGCAGTGATTAGAATGCAGCATTGCAGGCTAATTCTGTCAACTGCCAGCAGTTTGATCCTGACCAGCTCAAGGTTGACTCAGCCTTCCCTCTTTCTGAGGTGGGTAAAATGAGGACCCAGATTGTTGGGGGCAATAGGCTGACTCCGTAAACCACTTAGAGAGGGCTGTAAAGCACTGTGAAGCATTTAGATACAAGTCTAAATGCTATTGCAATTGCTAATAGCAATATAGCTATTATATAGCATGGCTATTGGTGATTACTGAGTGACTGATTTCAGTCTCTCTACATCCAAATGTAAGTACATCCACCAGATCAAACAATCCCATATTCATCTGAATTCATCTGAATCGATCATATCTTTATTTTGTCTCAATAATTCTGCATGAAAAGTGAAAGGCATCTAACCAGTTAATATAGAAATGGGGATGGGAATGCATTCCCTCCCAACACCCCCAATATCACTACAATCCATTTTACACCATTTTGCAAAGGGGCATGAAAAATCACCGAAAAACCGAAAGGGGAAAATTCTTGCATCTGCTCTCTCTCAACTTGGATAACATCTGCTTCTCTCTTATTAGAGGAATGGGCAGCCCCAAACCCCTCTCCATAAACAGAGGCCCTCCCAGGAAGGCTATGGGCTTATTGTGTGTGGCATGATAGACTGTTCATCTGTTCTCAAATAAGTGGCCAACTTGCTGGGTCAGGCAGTGTCTTTTCAACTATTACAAGTAGTATAATGGAAAAATTAATAATTCTTTAATCAATTTTTCCATAACTGAATGATCATCAACCAGTATGTTCTGAGCAACTGGAGTGGGGGACAGAGGGGTGAAGAATGAGAAATGAAAAAGATAATGTACCTCGCCGTTATAAAAGCAATATAAAAGTGCTACGAGAAAACCCTGGAAGAGAAAGAGAAAATAAATTAGATTTGAGGAACATGTGTCAAAGTACAATTTGACTTGGAATTTATATAATCAGAGAATACATTTACAAAAAAACTACCTGAAACATGAGCCATCATGCTGGCAAATTGAACATGAATGCAACTATCTTCCTCTTGCTCAAGAATTATTTTTGCCTCTTAACAGCCATAAAGGTTTCGAACTGAATCCTTTCTGAGTAATCTGCGTAAATTTACTTTGAACATTTTGCTTCAGCAAATGTCTGGCTTGCTATTTGAAACTACAATGGTTGATTCCAATAAAATATACTGCTCAAAAAAATAAAGGGAACATTTTACCATGGAACTGAAGGGGTTTGCGTTCCCTTTATTTTTGTGAGCAGTATACTGTATATTATTTCTCCCTAATCAGACTTTTTTTTAACATTACAGGAAAGCTTGTAGTCTAAAGTTTACTACTTTACTACTTCCTGAGCAGGAAAGCTTGTAATCTAAAGTTTAGGGCACATTACATTTATGCCTGTAGAATTACATCTCCCTAGAATATGGCTGTAGAATCTTGAAAGGTGAGCATTAAATTTAAGAATTTTTTCCAAAAGACCCATTCATTCTGCTCCCTCATTTATTATGCACATATTTTAAAATTACCTTCTCAGAACTACCCATATTAGACTGATATAAATCTAATTTTGTTGTGTGGAATTCTAAGACTCAAATAGATAGGTTTATGAAATTTGAAAAACAACGCATCACTTCCAACAAGCATGGAACTGACTTCAAATGTCTCATTCTTTGGGTTTAACAGTCTTCAAAAAAAGTTAAAATATATTGTAGTGCTAAATAATCAGACTCTAAAATCAGATTAGGACAGGGAAATTATAGTAAGAAATCTCTTGAAAATGTTCCTAATAATTAAAAATATTTCACTGAATAGCAATCAAGTTAAATTTAAATAGCAATATTTCTCCAATAGCAATCAAGTTAAATTTAAAAAAGAAATAAAAAATTAATATAAATATAAGCTAAGCAAAATACTGCACATACGATTTTTCTCCACTAGACTTTTATTCTTTTTTTTTGGGGGGGGGGGTAGCAATAACAAACTAGGTTTGATTTTTGTTGTTGCTTTTTGTCAGGTAAGTAACAAAGATTCAGTTTATTGAAGGCATTGCTAGTTAAGAATTATCATTATACCTGCTAACCAGATCTGTTCCTCTGACTTGTGAGGAAAAGGAGAAAATTTTAATTTGGCAGCTACTACTGTACTTAAATATTGTTTCAAAAAGCTCTAGCCAATAATACTGAAAAATCATATTTGGTTTGGAAAGAATTCTAGACAAATAATTTTATGGGATTGCTAGTATTTTTCAGATATGCTAGAATATTTATTCAGTAGTAGAAGTTTAATGTTTATATCAAATTGTATTTTAAAAATATGTTTTAAATTATATTTGAAAGATTATTGTATTATGCACCATTTATTAATGATCTGTGATTATGGTTTTTGATATTTTTTCACATTTGCATTCTGTAAAGTTGATATTAAAATTGTTTAATACACTTCCATCAAACTTACATGGAAAGAGCTGATGGTTAGCTGGATGAAGATTTTGACATGCCTGGAGAATCCTTCAACATGATCATCCATGATGAAATTAAAAACAGTCTCATGAATTCCAAGTAAAGGTATCAACACAAGAGTTGACCTTGCCAATCTTAAAATGAAAACAATCACCAACATGAATTAAATCCTTGAAATAAAACTCAACAAGAAACACATAATGGAATTATGACAGTCAGTTCCTTGATACGTTGATTTGGGATTAGATTGAGATGTCTATGAGCGTTAAGCATTCTGGTGATAATTCCATACTAAGACTGCAGCCCTGTGATTCTTGGAACAGTGTCTGAGTGACTTTAGAACCAACTGATTTCTCCCTCCCAAGGTCAGAGGCAGGGCCGTCCTTAGTCTTGGAGAAGGAATCTGACATTGCCTCCCCAAACTGGGACTTTGTGAAATTTATTTATTTATTTATTTATTTATTTTGATTTATATCCCGCCCTTCTCCCAAGGGGACTCAGGGCGGCTCACAACATATTTAAAAACATAGACATATTTACAACTCCCCACCGGATAAAACCAAATTAAACCAATATTTAG